AAGAGAGACCAACCTCTATCTGCCGTCGAGTTCTAGCAACATCCAGTGGACATGTGGAGGCAGCTGCAAGGCTTCCGGCCACAAAACCAGCACAGAAGTTTGCACCCAAGACACTTGAGACACTAGCCTCATCTCCTACCCTGCTTAAGATTCTTCTTCTAAGCTGGCAAAATTTAAAAAAATAAATAAAGAAAGAAAGAAACAATGTGAAACATTAAAAAGAATCCCCCAAAAAATTCCATATAAATAAAAAAGGCCTTACTGGCTCAAGAGAGGACCAGCAAACTGCGGAGAAGGGGACATCACGTGCAAGTTGTGCTCCAAGCCCAGTCCATAGTATGCGATAGCTGTGAACTGGTGAAAAATATGCTCATTAATTCATCACTTCCAAAGTCCAGAACAATATGTGGAAGGAAGATTAATAAAATAGAGGGTTACAACAAACACCCTGATGTAAGTCTTATTATTCAAATAAACAATTGAAAGGGAAAAAGATTACCTTAAAAAATTTATGACTTTAAAGGTTATAAGGTTCTCTGTACTCTGTAATTAGGCAAGATCTCAGGTAATTTTTGTAAACCACAAATTAGGGAATAGGAATGCCAAACATTTTATTGAAAGGGAAAAAAAAACAACAGACTACTGTCTTTAAGCAGTGTAGTTGCTAGAAAACTGACAATAATAGAAATTCCTTGCCCAAAATTATATGGTTCACAAAATCTTCCATTTGCAAAATTGATTTTTGTTAGCATCACCTGGCTATCAAAACGAACACTTTCTTTTTTAATATACATATGCTGGCAACGAGACAGTTGTGCAGCTATACTAATGAGATCCGAAAAACGACTTCTTAAGCAAGAGACAATGATTAATGAAATTATTATGATATCCCGGACTTAAAAAAATTTGCAATAAAAAATGTGAAAATATGAGGGCAAAGGGAACATACAAGATTGATTACTGGCTGTCTTGATGGGAGAGACGACACTGCTCAAAGTTTTCCACACTCCTGGAGGCTTACCACCACCTTGACTGTGTTTGAATGCCTATGTCCATAAAGATCATTAGACTCTCAATGAACCAAAATACATAGATAATCAATAAACAGTTAAAAAGTTCAAATACCGAAGGCGTGTTCTATGCTGTAAAAAAATATGTAGGAGAGAGGCAAGTAAAAAAATAGAAAGCATAAATTTACGCAGTCCCATTGAATATTAGATCACCATAGTGACATAGGATTTTGTTCTCAAAAGAAAAAATAATTAATGGCTAGTACAATTAATAAAAGGTAAACATGGAAATAAATGTAAAACAATTTGAAGAGCAAATTTGAGTACAAAAATACCTGCATACGAGTTCTTGCAAGGTCAATAGGATAACAAGAGACACATGCTATTGAGCGTGCTAAGGATCCAGCAATCAGGGGGACATATGGTGTGACTCTTGGAGCATTATGTGACGTGAAATATTCCATGTAGTTCCGGAAAATATCATACAGAGGCATATAGATTCCAACCTGTAAAATAGTATCCGAAATTTCAAACATAGAAAATTGTTTAAAAAAAAAACTGATACAAGATCATAATCTCCTTGAACAAATGAGTGAAACAAGAATACTCACAGAGGGTACTGCTAATGCTAAACTGGCAGTAGTTCCTCTCCACAATCTTGAGAATCCTTCCTGCATGATTCAGCAAGATAGAGTAACTTCTTCACCCTAATTATGAACATTACAATTATCTTTGGAAGTTACAAACACTCCCTTAAAACGTTGCAAAACACCTGTTTGCAGGTTGTATGCTACTCTAATAATATATGCACTCTCTTGAGTGTGCAAGTCGTAAAGAGAATCTGATTTTCATTTAATTTTTTTGTAATAAAGCTAGAACACAGAGTAGTTTTGCATTCATAGGCTAAAGAAGTATTCTTTTTTTACATATAGAGACAAGACCAAGGGCAGGTAGATCCTCTCTACAAATTCACAAACCTGCTTGATAATTTTATAAAACACATCCAGTGTTCCTCTGTAGCGAGTCGAACCAGGAGAGCACAGTGGTTGAGAGCTGGCAGATGATTGTACGTACTTGAGTTCGGGAAACATCTGGACACAAGAACAAAGCAACAAATACTATAAGAATGCATTTTCACTAAACTTTAATGTAGTATCTGCACTCTGCAGTTCTGTTTCTCCTAAACTAGTAAAAACCCAGTTTCTTATTGGAGTTACAAGGGAAAGAAAGAAGATTGTTTCTATTGTTTTGACATTCCACTTTTTACTCATTATTGCAAAAAATTAAATCAATGAGCAACTGTAGAGGTGCCTTAGATTTCTCATGTTGCTGACAAATTTAAAAGGCCTTTTACAACCCATTAACTGAACATTCTCTTATCAATCAAATTTTCGCCTGTATTTGCAGAACACAGCCAACTTCTAATGCTTATTTAGTTTTAGCTTTTGTTACGGTAGATCCCTTCTTCTGATAGTACAAGCTTTTTTGGTAACACTCACTTAATATCAGCTAGATATTGAGTTTCCAACAGCAGTAAGATAATGGAAGCAAGTAATAAAATGTAATGTCACCAGAAATAGCATTCAGAGGGACACCCATCAAGAAGCACACGGAGGCCACAAATGTCTCCTCAGATGAAAATTAATGAAGAACTACTAAAAACACATGTAGAAAGGAAATATGAAGAACTACTAAAACACATTTAGAAAGGAAAAGGACTTTTTTACCATGCCAGTTTCAAAGCAACCAGAATAGGGAACTCCAGCTGCCTGGGCTTGCAACCTTGTCTGAATTGAAATAAAAATAACAAAGAATGAAGACATCAAGCAGGCACCAAAATCTACAGTAAACAAAAGGTAATAGAACACCAGGAAACTAATTAAAGTTGCCGATTACTGTAATATATTTCACCAGCCCAGTGCATGGTACTCTTTATAAATGTGAGTGTTATGTACACTTCTATATAAAAAATTATGTACCTATAGCATTTCTCTTTTTATTTTTGGTAGGACCCCTTAATTATGTACACTTCTATGTACATATTATCTACCTAAAGCATTTCTCATCTCATGTGAAATCTTATCATCAAAATGAACATATTAGTTTAACAGATTCACAGGCTGAATCAATTCTCTAGACCTAGAAGTTAGCATAACAGAGAACAATAACTCTATTGACTAATAAAAACAAATCCCATAAGGAATTAAATTAAACTCATGAAAATCCTCATAACTGATTAATTTGGACACTAGTATTTGACCTGTAATGCACATATATAAATAAATTAATGTGAGTCTGTATGCATATAATGATTAATTATTTTTCTTTCACGTTTCTGCAGACCAAATTTACAATTAAAAGAGTTAGATTTTCTTTTTTTTAAAATTGCGTTTATTCAATTGGATGTAATGTATATTTTGGTACGTCTTTTATTTGTGAATTATTTATTTAGGAATTTTAAATATATTTTTTATTTTCAACAAAAAAAATTAAATGTACAACAATAATAATATCTAATCACATTATACGGTCAATACATTATATGGTCAACTATCATTAATCAAAAATTTAAAATAATTTTTGTAATTTTGAAATGAAGAGTATTAATTATTTAATGATTAAATGTAATGATTTTTTGAGGAAAAATTGTTAAATTGCCGGTAAAATTAAATAAGTTTTATTAAATGTTATTAGCTAGTAATTATATATATATAGATTAGGGACCAAAAATATAAAAAAGGAAATCGATAAAAACAACACCTTTGCAACATCAAGAGGGTTAACGATAAGGGCGGAAATGAAAGCGGCGCCGCCAGCTGAAAGTGCCCTTTCTCGGAAGCTCAAATCCACCTCCGAAATTTTGGGAATAGAGGAACCCGTTCTTGAAGATTCCTCTTTCACCACCATGTTTTTATCTAATTCCACCTTTCTTGTCGCCGTCGCCACCCCCGCCCATGTCGGCAAGCCTTGTCTTGATGAACCCACCATCTGAAATTCGAAAAGTTCCAAAAATTTATGGAAAGTAGATAAGAAAATGATTTTTTTTTTTTTTTTTTGTTTCAAGATTTCTGGAGAGATTGGAACCCCTTCTGATGGAAGTGTGAGAAACAATATGAAAATATTCTTTCCGATTATTGCCTTTTCTAGTTTTCTTGCCCGTTTTCTTGGTGTGAGTTTTGTTTCGATGGGGATTTTTGCATGCAGAAGAAATGCGAGAAAATTAGAAAGATTCAATTGAGACGAGTGATTCGTGGCGTGGGATTAAGGCCACCAAACATTAGGGAGATTTTGGTCAGAGGATTTTAAGTTCGCATAAACATTTGTATTCCTAGGTCGTGTTTGGACTTTGGAGACGTCTAGAATTTGCCATATTATATTGATACTGCCTTGTCACGGCCAGACTCTTCTCCGTAAACAAATTTTTATGCTATTGATATTCGCACTCACATTAGTCACATACCTTGAAACTAGTACACCTGTGATGAGCAGTATGAACAAATAATTTTATATTATTTAATTAGTATTAGTGCATATCCCGTGCGATGTACGGGATATATAAATTTGGAGAATATTATAATTTGACGTGCATTAGGATATACGAGAGTTTAATACATACGAACATTATTCAATCATAAAATGTTCGTTACGAAAAAATCTTATATTATTAAAAACTTTTGTGTACACAAAATTATGAGTTTGATTATTGGGTAACTTGTGAGGGACACGGGCCGGACACGGGCTGCACAAAGGGCTGCGAAAACTGTGCCTCACACAACTGGGTTCCCTTGCTGGGCTTCTCTCATAGGCTACGGATGCTGATTGCTGTCGTCGAAAAAACTGCCCCCCACTTGGACAACTTTTCTTATATCTAACTATATTATGAATTATATTTTATTCCAAGTTTAAAACTTTTTCAATCCTATTTTATGTAGATAATTATTTTATATTCCCAACTACACTAATAAAGAATGTTTTTAGTTTAAATCATGTAACTTCCTTAATAGTGAGTTGAATAATTTATAGATAGAAACATAATTTAATGATTCCCTCTAATTTCATATTCAACATCCCCTCTTATTTCATGTTCCATATTTCACAATTTTCTCCAAATAAAAACAAATTAAATAAAATAATTATTAGGTTGACCATCAAATAAATCAAAATAAGACTGTAAATAAACGTAAACTTTTCCTTAATAATTTTTATATTTTTTTAAATAAAAATTGTAATGTTTCGACATAAATTTTGTTTGTTTGTTTTTCATTAACTGTTTATGAATAGGCTATCTATCTTAATTTTTGTTCAAAGTTGGTTTATTTTTTATTTACATCATCATACTTGATTGCACACGTTTTTTATGGTAATATCAGATAACATCAGAAATATTATCTTTGATACGGATCAGCTTTAAAGACTCTCGAGAATAATCAACTTTGTTTTACTTTGAACATTTTTTAAAAAATATTCAGCACGTGAGTTTTTTTTTTTTTTTTTTTTTT